AACACTTTATTTGATGACACTTTATTGTATGACCTTGTATTGTATAACCTTGTATAACACTAAAAGTAACACTTTAAAAGTGCAATAAATTCTGGTTGTTAATTTAAAATATGTTTTTCTTTTTTATTTCACAGATTCTGAATGTTGCATACAGTAAGATATGCAGCCTTTACACGAATTTCATTGGATCTCAGCATTTCCATTCTATGGTTAGATTATTAGGTTACCATGGCATTGCTGTCATCTTAGAAGAAACACTCAAGACAATGAAGAATATTGTAAGATTTTTTGGCTGTTTATTATGAACCAATTATTGTCTGGATTCATTTGTGATAAATTGTTTTTTATGGAACTAATTTTCTTCTACAGGGTCAATTGTTGTCTATAGAGAATCAATTTTCTCTTAGAAGACCAATTGTCTTCTCTGAGGTCTATTGTGCCTTAGGGGATCAATTGTCTTCCATAATGATCTATTGTCTCTTGGGGATCAACTGTCTTTTATGGGATGAATTGTCTCAAGTGTGTTCTATATGACATTATTGTCAAGCAGCATATTTTGAGATGAATGAGATTACATATTAATATGTTTAATAAAAAAATAATTTATATAATTTGTTTTCACGCCTCAGGAACATTTACTTTATGTGCATTTTATTGTAGATTCAAGGTGTTATAATGGATTATGTCAAGGCATTGATGGAAGCTATGCCCAAGTCATGTGGACTGCCAAGATCTGAATATGGATGTGTAGGTATGTAATGTGTCATATTTTCAAAGACAATAAAGCACTACCGTCAATTTGTAATGCGTGGTCACACTGTATGTTAATAAACAATGTATTTTACACGTTGCATACAATTATTTTGAGCATACATTTTAGAGTGACAGTGTTGGTACTTTGAAACTATGAGGTTTTTGGAACTACTTTATTGCATGCTTCAGAATATATACTTTTTCAATGGTGGTATATTTCACCAGATCACCTGAGTGTATTGATATGTAAAAAGTAGTGCCGTTGGTGTAACTGAAAATGGCGGAATAAACAAGGAGTTAAATATGAAGCTCTATAGTTTCTTTGATGTTTCGTGTCTTCCTGAGTCAACACATCACAGAAACTAAAATTTAATTGTCTAAGAGCGAAATAGACTCAGAAAAAAAAGGGTTCTCGTGGTAATTTTTTTTTTTTAAATTGTACCTTTTTCCTTTCTCTTCTAAAATTCTTCAAAAATTTTAAAAACCTAATGCACACCCCATTTTTAACACATATTCTTATGGTAAACAGTAATATTTATTATTTAATATTTCTAGTGTTTCATATTTGTATTATAAACTTCAAAAATTTGCATCAGACTGCTTTCACCTTGTGTATCTCAATAAGCAAAGCTACATCATATGAAAACCTTATCTTAAATTTTTACAGTGGTGATGAGAATTATTCAAACAGTCAGTTACCAAGACAACTTACAGCTTTTTAAAACACTTTGGGTTTTTGTCCAATCTAGACATAATGATGCCATTCCATTGATATGTGCAGAGTTTACATCATTCCATTATCATACTAGACGAGGGTAAAGTGCGGTTTTCAAAATGAATTAGAACAGGTTATTTTGACAGGAAAGGAAAAATAGTTATTGAATACGCACACAAAATTTGCAAATTATTATGTTGATCACCCTATGAAATAGTGAATTCAAGTGGCCCCATTAAAGCAAGGGGGCCATCACCTGCGCATGTGTCAGATGGCCATAGCGTGTCATTGTTTACAAACAAGCACTTACCCACGAGCTTTTGCGTTTTTAGCATGTGTTGTTATCGTCGCTTTGTTTTGAGTGTTGTTTTCATATAATGAGAGTGCGATCAGTCATTGATTCAACAGTAGTGATTTAATCACATTGGAGGCGGACATCTTGGATTACAACAACATGCACAGAGAATGACCTCAGGTCATAGCCTCGTTCTGACTCTATGCTAATGTAAATATAACATGTTAAAACAAATGAGCATCAATAATGACATATTGTAACAGCTTGGGACTCAATTCCCGCGCGTGTGCAGGTGATGACCCTCCTGCTTTAAGTCTGGAACAAAATAAACATTGAAAGTGTTTTGCAAAATTGCGAGTCATCTTGGTAACTGACTGTTATAATATATCTCAGAATGGACTTAAATATAATACATCTCCAATTATGCCCTCGAAGATAGCTCAAAAGAATTCTTTCTAACTTTTCCTTGAATCTCTTTGCTAGGCATGCTGGGATTTTATGAAGCCAAGCTGAATTCCATCCTACAATATCCTGACTTGAGAACCTTAGTATTCCAGAAATTTCGAGAACTTGGAAATGCTATTTTATTTTGCCGCATATTAGAACAAAGTTTAACTAAAGAAGAACTCAATGACTTGTTGTTGGCGGCACCATTCAGAAAAGTGTTTCCAAGACCATATGTCAAGTCAAAAGGTTGGTAAATTACATTTTTTCTGCTACATATTTTTGCACATTTACCCTACTTTTGCAAATTTGTTTAGTTAATTTTAAAACAGTTGGACATAATTTCACATTGGCTACATGTCTCGTCTGTTGAAGACAAATGATCCAGTTGAAGACAATTGATTTCATTGATAATTGCAAAATAATCGAAAGTCAAAATTAAGACGCATTTTTAGAAATACTATGTAAACAGAAAAGGTGGGCACTAAAACAAAAACCAAAAAACCTTCTAAATCTTGAGAGTGATCAAAACAAAACCATACGTATAGTATAATTCAGTACACGATATAACAGTATATAGTTTTTAATTGATGTTTGCTTTGTTTTAAGATATGTTTAAAATTTTGTTGATGGGCAGATACATTTTGAAATCTTGTATTCGTAATTGTTGTTGTAGATAGTGAAAAGGTTGAAGCAAAACTGAAAAACCTCGAGAAAATGCACAAGTCAATGAATGTTGTATCAGTTATTGATAAACTGGGAACACAAAAGGTAAGATGGGGTTTGGCTTAATTTTGTTAAATTGGTACTAATGTTCATTTAACAAGTACTGAAACTGTCAGCTCAGTACTTTCAAAAGTCAAGGAAAATTGCAAGATTTTATAGAGGTAAATATATCATTTTTGAATTCTATAAATAATAAAACGGAATTTGCGGTGTTTCAACCTGTAGCAAATCAAGTTGGTCAAGGATTCTCATTTACTGACTCGGGAGAGACTTTGCATTGGATTGTCGCTATTCAAAGTGATTCTGGAAAAGATCCAGGAATTTCTGACAGATGCAGTGTGGAATGGAGTGAAGAAACCAGCTAATGATGTTATGAATGTTGACGAATGCGTGGAATTTCACAGACTATGGAGTGCCATGCAGTATGTGATTTGTCTACCACTGGGAGAAAATGAGTTATTTGTAGAGTAAGTACAAAGACAGTTGTTTAAACACAAGTAGTCAACATTTTATTTTTATTTTATTTTATTATGGCATTTTTTTTAATTTTTTTTTTTTATTTGATTGAAGTTGCAGAACTCTATATATCAACAGACAGAGGATAAATTCATTCCAGAATTGGTTTGTTTCCATTACATATTTGGATCAGAATGTTTGAAACTTTTATTTAAGCTGATCTAAAAAAAACAAAATGCATACATTAACCTATGTATATTGAATATTTAACATTGAATACATTCAAAAAAATTGTTTACATTTTTTGGTATGTTTAATATTTCCTTCCTTTTTACCATTGTAATGTCATCCATAATGATGTCATTCTTCCTGAACACGTTCTTATCCTTTTCAGTTCTTATCATTGATTGTTTCTATTTTACTGTTGGTAGGGAAGGCTTTGGTGAAGGTCTTAACTGGGCTGGTTGTACAATAATACGACTGTTAAAACAACAGTACAGGTTTGAAGCGTTTGATTTCTGCTATCACATCAAGAAAATACACGAGGTTGAAAAGAAGGACGAGAATGTGAGGGGAGTGGTAAGTTTCTCTATATTGGTGATTTGTTGTGATATTTAATGAGGTATTTTGAGTTTTAAGTCGTTGAATTTCACATTGCACAATGTATGTGTCACATTTGCAAATTTGTTTTTTTTTTTAGTCGGTGAAGAGAATGGTGAAAAGAATTGAACGATTTCAAACACTCAACAATGAGATTTTTGCTTCATTGGACAAATTTCTTGGCTCTCATGACACTGATACTAAACTCCCACTCAGCGAAGTGCGACATTTCCAGCCGCCAGAAAAACCAGAAGGAGACGATGTTGATGTTAACGTTGACGTTGATACGGATGATGAATATGACTGAGTGATTCAAAGTCTTCAATAAAACCATTCCAATGGTAATCTGAATTCACAGTTTCCAACTTGAAGTGTTTTTTTTTGATAATTTAGTATTTTAGAATGATACAAGACAGTACAAATGACATGATGGTAATTTCATACCATATATACATGTACAATGTAGGACTTGTTTATTGGTTATTTGTTTATGAAAAAAGAGTGATTGAATTCAAGTTTACCATTAATTGCCATTTAAGACTAGTTTATAACAGTTGAATAATATTTAAATGATTGCTTTTTGCCTGTGCAATTACAAATATATTATATCCAGATATTTTTATATAAACCAAATGGTGAAATTCTAGCTAACTATTGAATGGTGCCCCCTCCATTGTTGGAGTTGTCGTGTTTGATGGACTTTGTTTGAAATAAACTTATAGTAGGTGATAATGTACTGCAACATCCATTTAATGTTTCTATTGAAACCTGACAATAAATGCAATCATAGAATGCATGACATTATAATGTACCCATATGGCACCACACCAATGTTTTGTCTTTACATTCCTTTACATTTTAACAGATTCTATACAGGGTTTTAATCTGGAACTTCCAACACATTTCGCAATTGTGTTAGTGCCCAATGTATATACATATTTGTTTTGCATTTTATATACATCAAATAATATTTGCCATGTGTAAATATAATCATCCCATGCATGTTGCTTATGATATAAGACCTAATATGTGGCACGTGTTTAGTTATGGTAGTTCATTGTTGGACAAAGTCAGAAAATGTGAACTTATGGTTCTACCTCAGTGTGTTCATTCATTTGTTTGTTCATTCTTCAGTGCATTAGTGCTTTCCCACCTCGATTATGCCTGGACCATTCACATTTAAACTTCATATATGACACATCATGGATATTGATTGGTACATGAACATGTGTATGTCCATTCATTTCACGATCCAATTCAAGGCCAGATGGTGGTCATTTTTGTGCTAAAAATTCTTAAAAATCAAGCATTTTAAATATTTTGGTACAGTATCTGATCTTTGTTCTCTGTAAATGGATTTCATTTAAACTTTGTAAATGCATTGGACATTATGGGACCTTGGTTGTTTTTCAGATCAGATTGAAATGGATGACTGGTGGCCATTTTGTTTTAAAGAATGCAGTTCTATAAAGTCTTATCTGTGACATGCCTTGACAAGTCATGTTCAAACTTTATATAGTATGCATCATGTCACACTTATGCAAGTGTTCATTTGATTTTCCAAATTAAGATGGCCAATTGGCAGCCATTTTAATGTTGAAAGTTCATTAAGATCAAACATTTATGCCATTTCAGAACCGGATGTATTTTGTGTGTTGATGGATTTCATTCAAACTTGGTACATACAGTAGATGGTATGGCAGCCATGTTGTTTTATTGAATGCTGTTCCAGTCGTATCTCTGGCATGCCTTGACAGATCAAGTTCAGACTACATCATGTCACACATCAAAATAAGTTTCCATTTGACCGTCAGATTCAAGATGACCAAATCGCATTCATTTAAAAAATTCTTTAAAATCCAACATGGATTTCAGTCAAACTCGGTATATATATTGGACGTTATGAGACTTTGTTTTGTTATTACAGATCTGATTCAAAATGGCCGACTGACAGCCATTTTGTTTTATTGAATGCTGTTTCGAAGCCATATCCTTCTGACATGCCTTAACTTATTGCATTCAAACTTTACAACTACATTATGCATCATTTCACACATATTAAAATGAATTTAATTTTTAGGGGCCCAAGCCTGTAGGGCGTGGCCCCTATTCTTATTGTTCGGTTTTTTCTTCTTTCTTTCTTCTTTCTTCTTTCTTCTTTCTTCCGTAACTTTTTTCGTCAAGCCGTTTGAGAAAACCGCTGAACGGAATAGTCTGATAATGCTCTATACTGATAGTCCCTAATGTGAACTGGTGCAACATGCTTTCAGAATTTTGATTGGCCAATTAGTTTGGCAGCCATATTGAATTGAAATAAAACCGGAAGTGGCTGTTTGACCACTTTCTGAGGGTCTAGGCGTCTAGATTTTTTTATGGTATATAGTACAACTCATGTGTAATAAATATCAGAAATAAAAACTTTAGCGGTCATGTGACTTTTCCCGCCATTTTGTTTTTCCTAAAAACGGCAAAAAACACTTTAAAATCTTCTTCTTCAGAACCGCCAAGTAAAATGTTCTCATATTCAGTACTTAGCTTCTACATATGGAGCAGATTTAGATTTGAGAAATTCATTATGATTGGTCACGTGGTTCGGCCGCCATTTTGGATTTGTTCTCAACAGGAAGTAGTTTTTTACTCATGCCGCACTTGAGCGATTATCTCAAATATTGCGTCATGGCATGTCTCTA